GTAGAATTGTCTTGCAGCAAATATTAAGAGAATTTCTTCAGGTAGAAGGAAAACAATATAGGCCAAAAATCTGGATCTTTAAAAGAGATCATGGGAGAATAAAAAAATGTTTAGTTTTTGCTATTCTTAGTTGATCTAAATTATAACTGTTTGAAGTAATAATAGTAACAATGTATTGGGTGGTTATAGTATACAGATAGCTGGAATGAATACCAGTAATATCACAAATGGGATGGGGGAAGAAATTGGGAATATTCCATTGTAAGGCATCTGTATTATACATGAAGTGGTATAGTTATTTAAAAGCAAATTTTTAGGGGCTCCTGGGTGTCATAGTCGGTTAAACATTGGACTCTTGGTTTGGCTCAGGCCATCTCAGGGTTGTGAGATCAAGTCCCACATGGCCTCCATGCTCAACATGGAGTCTGCTTAAGTTTCTTTCTCTCTCCCTCTGTCCTCTCCTGTGCATGCTCTCTCTCTCTCTCTAAAATAAATAAATTAATGAATCTTAAGAAAATTAAAAGTGCATGTAGATTAATTTAAAATAGGTATTGTAAACTCTAGTGAAATCACTAAACATGGGATCCCTGGGTGGCGCAGCGGTTTGGCGCCTGCCTTTGGCCCAGGGTGCGATCCTGGAGACCCAGGATCGAATCCCACATTGGGCTCCCGGTGCATGGAGTCTGCTTCTCCCTCTGCCTATGTCTCTGCCTCTCTCTCTCAGTCTGTGACTATCCTAAGTAAATAAAAATTAAAAAAAAATTAAAAAAAAAGAAATCACTAAACATGTTTTAGAACAAATATAATACAAGCTACGAGAGGAAATATATAATCATATAAAATGCTCAATAAAACCAAAGAAAGCAGAAAAAGGGGGGGCGGAAATGAAGAACAAGTACAACCAATAGAAAACAATTACTAACACAGTAGATACTAATCCAATTATATCAATAATTCCTTTAAATGTGTATGGTCTAAATACACCAGTTAAAAAAAAATACTGTCAGAAAATGGATAAAAAAAAAAAACCTAGCCCTAATTTTATGCTGTCTATAAGAAATGCACCTTAAATATAAGGACTCAGATAAATTAAAAGTAAAAGGGATGGAGAAAGGGACACCACACTAATCAAAAGAAAGCTGAATTAGCCATATTTATTTCAAAGTTGACTGCAGAGTCAAGGAGAGTATCAGGGATAAAGATGGGCATTATATAATGATAAAGGTAGAAATTCTCCAAGAAGACATGACAATCTTGTGTGTACACCTAACACAAGAGCATCAAAATACATGATGTGAAAACTGACAATAGCTTAAAAGAGAAATAGACAAATTTACTGGTACAGTTGCAGGCTTCAGTACTCCTCTTTTAGTAACCAATACACAGAGTAGGCAAAAATCAGTAAAAGTTTGACAGCTTGAACAACACCAGTTAACCAACTTGATCCAAATAACATTTATAGAAACCTGCATCCAACTACTGAGGAATATACATTCTTCTCAAGCTCACATAGGATATTCAGCAAAATTGACCACATACTGGGCTATAAAATGCATTTACAAGACTAGATAAATTGAAAGACGTAACACATTTACAAGACTAGAAATCACACAAAACATGTTCTCATGTGCAATGGAATCAACCTAGAAATTAATAACAGAAAAAACCTGGGAAATTTCAAAATAGAGATTAGACAACACAATTCTAAGCCACGTAACATAGAGTCAAAGAAGAAATCTCAAGATAAATCTTAAAATATTTTGAACTAAATGAAAATGAAAACGCAAAATTACGAAAGCCATGCTTAGAAGGGAACTGATAGCATCTATTTTAGAAAAAAAAATAAAGATCTAAAATCAATAAACCAAACTTCTACCTTAGGAAAAGAGGAAAGAAGAGCAACATAAGCCTCAGTAAGCAGGAGAAAAAAAAAAAAAAAAGAAAGAATGAAAAGGAGAGTGAGAATCAATGAAGTTGAAAACAGAAAAACACTAGAGAAAAATTAATGAAACCAAAACCTGTTCTTTGAAATGATTGATGAAAGGGAAAATCTCTAGCCAGGCTAACAGAATAAAAGGGAAAAGACACAAATGTAAGGCGGGAGCCGGATTTCTCACAGTTGGGAGTGGAAATTTACAAACAAGCAAGGGGAAGAGGCTGCAGTGACCCACGTGGTAATGGATTGGACTTGGAGACATCAGTGTTAGCTCATGATTAGCTTACTGTAGGTACAGCTGGTAACATGCAGACATGCTTATAGGTATGTCTGTACACATGGGTCGGCATACACGTATCTATTTCCTCCCTCTGTCAGCTGAGAGGGCCTAGAAGCAAAACACCCTGCCGTTAATAAGCATGGCTAGTACCCAGATCTTGGTTTCTGATACCCTTCTCCAATAAAAGGAGCCAATACTCCTTGAGAGATGGCTGATTTTAGGGCTAGAGCAGGAAATATAAAACATGAACTTAAGCTCCTGACAGTGCCAGAAGGTAAGGAAGTGCTACACACACACACACACACACACACACACACACACACACACACACTGATGTAGTATGTCAGAGCTCCAAAAGCCAGCTGAAAAAGCTCCTAAATGGCCAAAGCTGGTACAATTTGAGCACATACTAAATAAAACATAGATCATAACCAAAAGTTTAATATCAGTAGCCATGAGTTCTCACTGATACAAATAAATGATTGAATAAATAAATAATTGTGGGAAAATAGACAAACCTCCCATGCAGAAGTAGTCCAAAGAATTCAGGTCGATAAGCCACCTTCTAACTTCCCACTCCTTGGATGTGGGCTATGCACAGTGACTTTCTTTCAGGGAGTGAAGTATAAGGTGTGTGTGTGTGGGGGGGGTAACTTTACAGTAGAGATACCAGACAAACAGAATCTGAGCAGGATGATCAAAGTTAGAATCAGAAATTATGTCATGTTGAAGTTACGTACCCCTGATTCGGCATGAGAAGGATGCTGCTTTATTTCTGGGAGCTTCCTCACCCATACTCATAACCCCACTCCAATCATGAGACAAACCACCAGGCAAATTCCAACTAGGGGACAGTCTACAAAATATCTGGTCAATATTCTTTTAAAAAAATGTCAAAGTCATCAAAAACAAGGAAAGTCTAAAAAACTATGTCAGTCAAGAGGCACCTAAGAAGACATGCCAACAAAATGTAATGTGGTGTTCCACATGGGATCTTGGAACAGAAAAAAAGAACACTAGGTAAAAACTAAAGAAATTTAAAATATGGGCTTTAGTTAATAATAATGTATCAATATTTTTTCATTAATTATAACAAATATACCACACTAATATAAGATGTTAATAACAAGGAAAAGTAGATACGGGAAACTCTGTACTACCTTTGCAATTTTTCTATAAATCTAAAACTATTAATAAATAAAAAGTTTCATTTATGTGGAAATTGACCTAGATGGCATTTAGTATATCCATTTCAATGCTGAGATACAGTGACTTTAAAGTAGGATATTTTTGATAGTGTGCTAATAGATACATGTATATATATATATATATATTATCCATTAAAATTATACATATATTGAGAGAGATTCAAAACAATATATATATATATATATATATATATATATATATTATAGAGATATAAGATAAAGCATTATAGTTTCTGGACTCTATAATCTCTGATTATGGACAATTTTAATTTTCTTCATTTTATTTGACAGTATTTTTTAAAAGAATTTATTTATTTATTTCAGAGAGAGAGAGAGCAGAAGCAGAGGAAGGGGCAGTAGGGGAAGTGGACTCACCACTGAGCAGGGAGCCCAACATGGGACTCTATCCTAGGACCCTAGGATCATGACCTGAGCTGAAGGCAGATGCTTAACCGGCTGAGCTACCCATGTGCCCCTATTTGACAGTATTTTAAAAGCAATTTACCAAGGACACAATTATTTTTGTAAACTAAACGAAAGTTAATTGAAGTTTAAGTTTTTAAAATCAGTGGCTCTCCATGATGAGTGATGCCCGGCTGTGTGTCCCTGCTCCAAGCTCTGTTAGCACCCTGTCCTGACCTCTGTCATTGCCTTTATAAGAAGCCATCTTATGCATTTATGTTTTTTGTCTGTCTTTCTTCTGAGATTACAAAATTCTCAAGGAAAAAAATGTTTGCACTCCTAGCACCTGTGGAGAGTCTGGTAGACTGTGTCCTTAGGGACACAGGCAGAGGGCAGTTCGGTGTAAAATCTGGGACGAGTAACTGCTCTAGTTTCCTCACATGAAAAATGAAAAAATGTGGGCTGCTGCCATCTCTGGGGTTCCTTCCAGATCTAGGATTCAAGATTCTTTTCCCATCTCAATGAATTGGGCATAAATTCACAAAATAGGAACTCTGGGGAGATTATGTGACTTGCCCAAATTCTTCTTTTGCATCTTCTGGAAGATGATGGAAGATTGAGATTCAGGAAATGTCTGCTCTTTGGGAATTGGTTCAGAAAGTCTTTTTCTGTAAGTTTTAAATAATTTATTATTTGCAGTTAAATTTGTCTTTGAAAATTTACAAATGCCTGAACAAACCGTAATGGCTAAAATATGAAAGGATTAAATACGAGGATAATTATTTTGCAAGATCTTAGTGAAAATCTTTTTTTTTTTAATTTTCTACACAAAGCAGAAAATATCCTGTGTGATGAAGTGAGCATGTTGCTGTATATGTGTCCCTCGAATTGTGCTGCTTTTTCCTTGGACCCGAGATTAGAGAAGAATGATGGAAAAACACGATTCACTGTCTACACATCTGAAAGTCAAACTCTGAGGCCTTTCCAGAATCAGTGATCCTGCTCTGTCTTAATCAGCAATATTCTCCAGCTCTCCCACTCCTGTCCTCCTGTCCCTCAGTAACTCTGACGGCTTGAGACATTAAGTTCAGCAAAAAAGCCTATTACACTGGTTTCCTATTGATCTGTAACAAATTACTACAAACTTAGCTTTAAGACAACACACATTGATTACCTTATAGTTCTGGAGGTCAGAGGTCCAAAATCAGTGTCACTGGGCTCAAATCAAGGTGTTAGCAACGTTGCATTCCATTCTGGGGGCTTTGGGGGGGAGGATCCATTTGCTTGCCTTTCCCAGCTTCTAGAGGCTGCCTGCATTGCTTGGCTCAGGGCTGCTTCCACCAGCTTCAAGGCCAGCAGGGTAGTGTCTTCAGATCTCTGTGACACGGACCCTCTGCCTGTCTTATCACATCTCCTTTTCTGATTCTGACTCTCCTGCTTCTCTCTAATAAGGACCCTGTGATCACCCTACATCCACCCAGATAATTCCAGATAATCGTCCCATCTCAAGACTCTTATTCAAATCTATGAAGTCCTTTTTGATACGTAAGGTAATATGTTGAGATTTGCTATGGGGGCCATTATTCTGTCTAGTGTGTGTCCATCTTTCTTTTCCTAGCCGGTGGAGTGGACACCTCTTGTATGGAGCCCTATTTTCATGCAACCTCTGAGTCAGGCACCTTTGGTACCAGTCACATCTTGTCCCAGAGAAGTCATTGCTTTGTCATTTCTATAAAGATTGCCCTTTTAGATAGCATAAAAGGATACATGAGGCTCTAATTATGGCTATGTGAGCATATGATACTTTTGTATCAGGCAATTTTTTTTTTTTTTCTTAAGAGTATAGCTTTGGTGAGACAGACTTAGATTTCAATCTGAGCTCCACCCTCTACTATCTCTGTCACTTAGAGTGGGTGGCTTGCTTTTTTCTGAGCTTTGCCATCTCTGACTCAACCACAACTCTTGCCATCCTTATACTATACCCCACCATCCCTGAGATTTTCTCTACTGAGATTTGAAAGATAGCTAGGGTGTCTTAAATTATATAGTGAGAGGCAAAATTGAACCTCATAGACTTAATAGGAAAAAATGAGCAGAAAACAAACAAGATCATATACTTTGGGTGGGGTTTTTGCACAAAGAGTTTAACTTACTAAATCTCTTCTGGAAAATATTTTTAATTCTTATTTTCTAGAACCTATCTATCTATTCTATTCTATTTTTTCTTAATGCACGTCTCTGGCATCTTATAACATGAAATAGCAAACAATTAGCCCCATCTGCAAAAGAGCACACCTCGATTTGTGCCCTGATTTCCTCATTCTCTCTTTCATCTTTCTTCCTTCAGTCATTTTTTTCTTTGCATAAGGAATGTATCATTTAGGCTCATTACCAACATTTTGAACAACACAATGTATATAACATGAAGTGAGAAAATGTTCCCATTTTCTCAATCTTGTGAAGTAATCATTATTGAAAGTGTTGCCAATTTTGTCCTCCAGGATTTTTCATCTGTAACCACCTGTTGGAAGTGATGCCATGACCAAGCACTTAGACCTGAGTTACTTTTTAGTGGCCACATAGTTGACCATTGTATGGACACATCATCATTTGTTTCTCTCTATTTCTTACTTTGCTGCAGAAAGCAGATTGTCTCGTTGTGTTTATCACTCCATGTATTTTTCAGTGAAGTACCAAAAAGGAATGAAAAAGCAGCCCTACAGCTATTTCCTTTAAAAAAAAAAATCCTTTCCCCCCAAACTCCCTTATTTCTTGATCTCTTATCTTGGAGGACTTGGGGGAGTGGCCCAGGAAGGTTATTATTTAACAACACGTTATCAAACATGAATAAACAATTACTAGAGCACTTCCCTCTCTCCTGAGTACCCCAGTAATGGTGAAACCAGAACCAGCAGAAGTGAGAGGGAGCCCTGTGCTGACTTTAGAAAAAATATCTGCTGAAAATAGTTACTTTTATTATATAGCAAGACAGACAGACAGACACACACACACACACACACATACAAAATAAATGCAATTGTATTTCCATATGTTGATATATAAATATATATGTATAAATCTATTGTTCTATCAGAACATTCAATTTCATTAGTTTTAGCATGTTTCCTTAATTAACAACTTATATCAGATAAGATGAGGTAGCAAAACATTCTGAGTGGGGCACGTTGAACATTGTTCTTTTTTTTTTTTTTTTGAACATTGTTCTGAATGACATCCTCCCACAAAAATATCACCATCTGGAAACCGGAAATGGAGCATCATGCTTCCAAGGGGTTCTTATCTCCCAGACTTCACTCTCTTCTCTCTCTTTCTCTCTCCCCTCCCCTGGAATCGGCTAGCCCTCATGACCACACTGTTTACTTGTTAATTCGGAGCCCCAGCTCTAGATTATTATTATCAGTGACCTTCCCCCACCCACAGAGAGACTCAGACTTAATTCTCCTCTGTCTCCCCCTCAGGGAACTCCCAGCCACTGTATCACAGGCAGCATTTCTCCTTGTTCTACTCGTTTCTAACAACTGCAGCGCTCTCACCAGTGTCACCTGCACTCAACTCAAGCCTGTTAGCTTGCTCACAGTCAAAATAAACATATAAATACTTATAAATAAAAAGTACTTACAAATAGGAAAAGGGAAAGAGCAAGCAGACTTTCTGTGTCACTTCTTTTAGTCATCAGGATGCTGAGGCACAAAGAAAAGTTCTTGACAAACAGTCTTACCTTTGCCCGTTGGAGTAGAGCTCAGGGGACAAGGAAAGCCCATCCCCTAAAGAAGCCGATCGTCACAGCCCCCTCCACTGGCCCCCATCCATCCTCAACAAAAGCACCACTCCTGAACTGTCAGTTGTATACCTGGACAGTTCCTGAAGGAAGCAGTATAGCATTTGACTAATCTTGCATAACATTTTCATAATCCACGCCCATTGTCCCAAGGAAAAACCTGTTTTCCTGATCTATTTTGTATCAGGAAATATTCAAAACAGGGGACTGAGATAGTGGGGCTCCTTCAGACAGATGAGCCAAATTAGAGGAGACTTTCTATATGCCCGGGCACTGCAAGGTTCTGGGAGGTCTACCTTGTGCCAGGCCCAGGACTAGGGAAAGGAGACATGAAAAACAAAGCACTCTCCTCTCCCCAAGGATCTTGCAGCCTTTTGGGGGTCACAATCTGTAACTCTCATGGAGGGACATTGAGGACACAGAGGAGGAGGGGACAGATTCTCAACCGGGAATTTGGGAACGCTTCACCAATGAGTAGTGTTTGCATTGAGTTTTGAAGCATGAGTAGGAGTTTTCTGGAAAAATGAGGGTTGAGCTAGGCCTGGGGCAGTGGGAAGCATGTTGAAGGCAGTACGAAATTATTTGTTTTTAAGATTTTATTTATTTATTCATGAGAGACAGAGAGAGAGAGAGAGAGAGAGAGAGAGAGGCAGAGACACAGGCAGAGGGAGAAGCAGGCTCCATGCAGGGAGCCCGATGCTGGGACTCGATCCCAGGACTCCAGGATCACGCTCTGGGCCAAAGGCAGGTACTAAACCGCTGAGCCACCCAGGGATCCCCAAGGTGCAAAATTATTGAATAGGACGATACATTTGGGGAACTGCAAAGTCACCTATAGGGCTGAAACAGAGTATGTGGAAGCAAAAGGAGATACGAGACCAAAGAACTAGTCAGCGTCACCTGATGGGCTGATTTACAACGTCGGAAATAACAATTGTGAATTTGGGTATCATAATGATTCTACACTTTACTAGCGGAACTTAGCATACTATTTGTCATTGCGAAAGAGAAGCTTTGAAGGGAGGAGTTTGATGTATATTTAGATACTCCATGTGCTCAGAAAATGGGTGGTCTGGTTGCTCAAACGACCTACCTTAAAGTAGGTCACTGAATACCAGCTTCCACATAATTAGAATAATTAAAATACATTAAATATTAAAACCATCATTAGCACGTGACTACTCTTTGGCACTTCCAAAGGATCTACAAGTCTTTGGAAAGGGTCAGGATAGCAATCAGAATGACTACCACTCTGTAGAGTCCAAAGTGACGGCTAACAAGTTCTGCTCAGGAGGAGGTGAGTTTAGGGTTCTCCTATTTTAAAAATCACTTGCATTTGGAATATTTTTACACTTTATGCGCTGTGAAGCGGCCTGACAGATTGAATTAGGGCCAACATAATAAACGAAGCACTGCACTAATAATGTTAATACAAACAAATAATCAGAATAAACCACATTTCCCCACGTGATCCAGTAAACATATGGTCTTGCGGTTGAAACTTGGCAAGTTAATTGTCATAAGAACCCTGAAAGGAAGGTGGAATGAATTGGTAATTCTATCCCTAGGTCAGATCTCCGTCCTTGATATTTCCCTGTTCCCACAGACTGGCAAACCCTTGAAACAGCAAGTACGTTCTATTGTTAGCATTTCTTCCCCCTGTGAAATCACATTAATGATTGTAATTTGCTCCATTAGTATTGGCTTTACAGCTTCATTAAATGCATCTATTATTTTACCTTGTTTCTAAAGACTTGTTGGATATCCAGGGCAGGAAAGACTTTTTTTTTCCCTTCTGTATTTAACATGTAAGAAGCTAAGACTCAGAAAGGTGGCTTGCTTTGTCCAACGTCACATGACCTGAACTCCTGAACTACAACATATGCTTCTACCTCTAAGTCTGAACTCCTTTCTTACAATATCATACTGCCTCAAGGACATGACTTAGCCTCCAGTTTAAACATTGTCTATGTTCCTAACACTGTCCTAATTAAAACCTTACACCAGACCTGCATTATAGGTGCTACTGTTATTCCCATTTTGCAGATGGGTAACCTGAGATGTGGAAACATTAAGGAATAAATACAACCTCTCAGAGGAAGAATTGGGATTAAAACCCTAGTAGTTGGCTCCAGAGTCTATACTTTTAACTATAGCCAATACGCCGCCCAAGGCAACTAATTAATTTCCCTTCCCTGATGACATTACTATACTTTTCAATTTTAGTACAATATCACTTGTCTACGTGACTTTCTTCCCCAACTGAACTTGAAGATTCTGAACAGCAGAGCCAGTGACTTCATAATTTTTGTTCACGAACTCCAAGCCAGACATGTAGGGATTTAGATTTTTCCCTTCTTCCTCATTCCCATCACAACCAAGCCTTATTAATTCTTCTTCCTTAACTCCTCTCAAATTTATCTTTCCCTCTCTCTCCTCCACTACTATCTGTTTAAGCCTAGACATTTCTGGGTTATATCAGCTCCCTTGCTGGTCTTCTTGCCTCCTTACTTCCTCTCATTCCAGTCTATGCTCACAGCTAGTAGTGATCTGACCATATCACCCACTTTCTCACCATTGTACTTGTCTGAAGAACCTGAAAGATCATTTCTGTTTTTTGTTTTTCTCATACATCACATCCATGTAGATGATGCTTCCTTCCTCTGTCAGAAAGAATTTCCCTCCACTTCTTTGTAGAGTTCCCACTCACCATATAGAACTCAACTCAATTTTACTTATCCTTTCCACCACTGATAGGACCTCAGTTGGGCTCCAGTGCTACCCAATCCCCTAC